AGTGAATTCTTATCCATTCTACTATCTGTATCTTTTAAGTGGAGCATTTAGGCCATTTACATTCAATGTTAGTATTGAGATATGAGGTAATATTCTATTCATTGCATTATTAGTTGCCCAAATACCTTGTTTACTTTTTTATTGTATTATTCTTTTATAGGTCCTGTGAGATTTATGCTTTAAGAAGATTTTTGGTACACTTCAAGGATTTGTTTCAAGATTTTGAGCTTCTTTCCACAGTTTTTGTTGTGCTGCCTTCATAATGGCAAATTATCTCAGCATTTGTTTAAAAAAGCCTGTATCTTTTCATTTATGAAGCTTAGAACTGGATGCAAAATTCTTGCCTGATAATTGTTTTGTTTAAAGAGGCTAAAGATAGATAGGACCTCAGTGCCCTCCAACTTGCAGGGTTTCTGCTGAGAAATGTGCTGTTATTCTGATAGGTTTTCTTTTATAGGTTATCTACAAAATGTCTATGCCTCACAACCCTCAAGAATTTTTGCTTTGTCTTGACTTTAGATAACCTGATGACAGTGTGCTGAAGCAATGATCTTTTTGTGATGAACTTCCCAGGTGTTCTTTGAGCTTCTTGTATTTGGATGTCTAGATCTCTAGCAAGGCCAGGGAAGTTTTCCTTGATTATTCCCACAAATTTATTTTCCAAACTTTTAGATTTCTCTTCTTCCTTGGGAATACCAATTATTCTTAGATTTGGTTATTTAACATAATTCCAAACTTCTTGGAGGCTTTGTTCATTTTTATTTATTTAGTTTTTGAGACTGAGTCACTCTCTCACCAGGCTGGAGTGCAGTGGTGCAATCTCAGCTTCCTGCAACCTCCACCTCCTGGGTTTAAGTGATTCTCCTGCTTCAACCTCCTGAGTAGCTGGGACTAGAGGTATGTGCCACCATGCTCAGCTAATTTTTGTATTATTAGTAGAGACACAAGATTTCACCCTGTTGGCCAGGATGGTCTCAATCTCTCGACCTCATGATCTGCCTGTCTCAGCCTTCCAAAGTTCTGGGACTATAGGCATAAGCCACCATACCCAGCCTACTCCTTAAAATTTTTTTTCTTTGTCTTTGCTGAACTGGGTTAATTTGAAAACCTTATCTTTGATATCTGAACTTTTTTCTTCTATTTGTTTGATTCTATTGCTGAGACTTGCCAGTGGATTTTGCAATTCTCTAAATGTGTCCTTCTATTCCAGAAGTTGTAATTGCTTTCTATTTACGCTATTTCACTGGAGATTTTTCCATTCATATCCTGTATCTTTTTTTTTTTAATTTCTTTAAGTTAGACTTCACCTTTCTTTAGTGCCTTCTTGATTAGTTTAATAATTAACCTTCTGAATTATTTTTCTGGCAATTCAGAGATTTCACCTTGGTTTGGATCCATTGCTGGTGAACCAGTGTTGTGTTTTGGGGGTGTTAAAAAACCTTGTTTTGTCATATTACCAGAATTGTTTTTCTGGTTCCTTCTCATTCGGGTAGACCATGTCAGGAAACGTCTGGAACTCAAAGGCTGCTGTTCAGATTCTTTTATCCCATGGGGTGCTCCCTTGATTGGTGCTCCCCCTGTCCCCTAGGGATAGGGCTTCCTGAAAGCTGAGCTGCAGTGACTGTTATTTCTTTTCTGGATCTAGCCACCCAGTGGAGCTACCAGGCTCTGTGCTGGTACTGGGAAGTGTCTGCAAAGAGTATCGTGCTGTGATCCATCTTCAGGTCTCTTGGCCATGGATACCAGCACCTTCTCCAGTGGAGGTGGCAGGGAAGTGAAGTGAACTCTGTGAGGGGCCTTGGTGGTATTTGTGTTAAGTGCACTAGTTTTGTGTTGGCTGGCCACCAGCCTCCAGCCAGTAGGTGGTTTTTTCAAGAGCATATCAGCTTCAGTGGCATAGGGAGAATCAGGAGATAGACAGAGCCATAGAGCTCTCTAGAGATTATATCTTTTGTCGTTGGCTACCAGGGCAGGTAGAGAAGTAGTATCAGGTTGGGGAGGGGTTAGATATGTCTGAGCTCAGACTCTCCTTGGGCAGCTGCTTGCTGTAGCTGCTGTGAGAGATGGGAGGGTTGGTCCTAGGCCAATGGAGTTATGTACCCAGGGTGATTGTGGCTACCTCTGCTATGTCACACAGGTCACCAGGGAAGTGGGGAAAGCTGGCAGCACAGGCCTCCCCCAGCTCCTACACAGCCTGCAGCCTTAAAGGCCAGTCTCACTTCCACCATCATCCCCCAACAGCACCAAGTTTATTTCCAGGCAGTGGGTAAGCAGGGCTGAGAACTTACCGAAGGCTACAAGCCTCCTAGATGAGAAAACAAGCTGACTCACAGTTCCTTGGCTGTCCCACTGAACCTGCAGCAGCAATCCACCATCTTCAGAGGGTCTTTGAATTTTCTTGGCTTTCCTGGTATGTTCCCGTGGTAGTTCTTGGATCAAAAGTTCACACTGTGGGTCTCCACGTGCTGCTCCACATGCTGCTCCTCTCTCTCTGAGTGCACACTGTAAGTTAGTCCTGCCTCCTATCTGCCATAATTTCCAAGACTCCCATTCCTATTACTTCTTTCTGATTTAATTCCTTTGTGTTTGAGAATATACTGCATATGACTAGATTCCTTTTAAATTTAAAGAGGCTTGTTTTCTGGCCTGTAAGTTCACCTGTCTTGGTAAATCTTCTATTATTCGGCCATTATGTCATCAAACAGTTTTGTACCCTCAGCTTTTTCCTTTTCTTCACGGAATTCAATTACATGTATATCAGCTGCCTTAAGTTGTCCCACAGCTCGCTGATCTAATTTTGTTTCATTCTTTTTTCTTTCTGTATTTCGCTTTGGGTAGTTTCAGTTCCTATTTCTTTATTAATATTTTCTTCTGCAATGTCCAATCTGCTGTTAATCCATTTCAGTGTAGTTTTCATCTTTTTTTTTTCTTTTTGAGACAGAGTCTCTGTCATCCAGGGTAGAGTGCAGAGGTGCGATCTTGGCTCACTGCAACCTCTGCCTCCCTGCAGCCTCTGCCTCCCCACAACCTCTGCCTCCCAGGTTCAAGCAGTTATTCTGTCTCAGCCTCCTGAGCAGCTGTGATTACAAGCATGCACCATCACTCCTAGCTAATTTTTGTATTTGTAGTAGATTTGGGGTTTCAGCATGTTGATCACACTGGTCTTGAACTGCTGACCTCGTGATCCACCCTCCTCAGCCTCACAAAATGCTGGGATTACAGGCGTGAGCCACCATGCCCAGCCAGTTTTCATCTTAATGTGTAGTTTCAATCTCTAGACATTTGATTTGAGGGTTTGGTATATTATCCATGTATATTCAACTTTCTGAACATCCTGAACAGCCATAATACCTATTTTAATGCCCTTGTCTCCTAATTCTAATATTGGTGTCACTACTGGGTTAGTTTCAATTGTTCCATTTCTCTCCTGATTATGGGTCTTGGGTTGCATGTTAATCTTTGATTGGATGCCTGATATTATGAATTTTATCTTTCTGGTTGCTGTATATTCTTGTGCTTCTCTAAATATTCTTAAGTTTTCAGATGCAACATAGTAACTTACAAAGCAGTTTGTGTCTTGCTGATAAGAATTCTTAAGCTGTAGCAGAGCAGCATTTTTGCCTGGGAATAATTTTTTACTCCTACTGAGACAGACCTTTATGAATTATCTAACCAACACCTCATGAATTATGAGGTTTTCCTAACTGGCTGGTGGTAGAAGGTACTATCTCCCCCCTGTGTGAGTGCTGGCACTGCACTCTAATCCTGTTGGATGGTTCTTTCCTCAGCCTCAATTTGTTTCCATACATGCATCAGCCAGTCAGGACACTGAAGAACACCAACAGGATGCTCTGCAGATGCTCAGAGTTATCTCTTTGCATAGGTTTCTCCTCTCCACTTTTCTGGGTTGCAAACTATACCTGCCTTGGTCCAGCTGGACTTTCAGTTTCATCTACTTAACTCTGAAAGTCTGCTGGGCTCTACCTGGATTCTTTTTCACTCTGTTGTGGCCTACAAATTCTCTCAAGGCATTAAGCTCTAAAAATTGTAGAACAGACTCCATTTGTTTCCCATTTCTCAGAGATCACTGCCTTTTGTTGCCTGATATTCGCTATTTTGATAACCATTGGTTTGCATATTTATCTTTCTGTCTTTCTCTGTCTCTCTCATTATTTCTTTCTATCTCTTTATCTTTGTCCTCTCCCCATTCACTGGTTTGCTTCCATGAAATAGGATAAATTTGAGGACTCTTTCATTCCATATTGGCCACAAGTGGAAATTTATTTTTAAGCAAGTACTATTTTAAAATCATATAAGGAAAAGAAGATGGGTTAACCATCCTGAGGCAAAGTAGACTTCGTGCAGCATGCTACTGTAAATACAAATGTGATCAAAGAACGGCCTCTTAAAGAGTCAGGAGATTTACTGCTAATGTACTAAATAGAGTGCTGCTGCTCTTGTAGATTATGAGAAAGTGACATAAATATAGGGTTACTTAGCATCAATGGATGGATTATTTTATAAACACAGGGAAGAAATTGGACTTAATGGCCACTGGGTACTTTCTAATGTTTGCATCAATAAATTGTATTCTTTTTTGTGAGATTTTTTTCACCAATTTTTTTAGTATCACATGCTTTCACAAAATATTTACATTAAAATATTCAAGTCTATTTCCTCACTGGATTTTCAGTGAGGAATTAGTGAATTCAGTGAGGAAATAGCCTGGCTGTCTGTTTCCTCACTGAATTTTACCATCATATACTAAACAACACTGATATTTACTAATGACTACTCAATAATCTCATATCTCTTATGTAGCTGTGTTAAACACATACAGTATTTGAAATTGGAGTCAGGCCAATTTAAATAGAGTTTTACAAACATGGAATGTCTTGAGGCTGGCAGAAAAATAATAAAGGCAAAAACCCCACTCAGAGCCCAACTGACCTTTCCTGTTACTGATTTAACAAAATATTTCAAAGAAATTCAAAAATGACCTTTCTGCTCTGCATCTCATGGCTGCGTTTCTGCCCATGGAACTAATCAGTACAATTCTCATTGTGCTAGGAACCTGGCAGAGAAAGAGAAAGAAAAAAGTGTTCTTAGCAAAGGCTGAGGGATAATACAGAATAAGGGGAAAAAAGTCAGTTTTAAGTGAATAGCTCCCTGAAAAACAGATATTTTTATTAGAACATTTTTAACATTCATCCTACCCAAACTTTAAGGTTTTTTTTTTTTTTTTAAGGACCATTGGGCTAAAAATCTGCCTTTCCTCATAGAAGACTATGAAGAGCAGCCAGGGTTGCAACCCCACATAAAGTAAGTGCTTTAATTGTTTTTTATTTTTTTTTAATCTCTCAAAGTACATGCATGGTAGTGGAGAGGTTATTTTGATATGCTTTTGAACTCAGAAGAGAACGAAGTTATCAAATGTGACAAAGAAGTTGTGGAGAAGTGTTTTTAGTTAAAATGTGAACATTAAACAACATTTTTGGAAGTGGAGAAATTAAATCATTTTAACCATTCTTATCTCTTTCCATTCTTTTCTAATGATTGACAGTAATAAAAAATAGAATAATTCATTATTCGTTGTAAATAACGAGCATATTTAGTTAGATTGATTGGTTTGGCCAAAAGCAACGAGAATTTCTCTACGATTAAAAATATCACAAACAAAGTCAGAAGATAAACTATGACAAGAAATAACATTTGCAACACAATCACAATTTTCCTTAAAAGCCAGAATCCCTTATTAGTAATTTAAAAAGTGATTCCAACAAGACAAAAATTGAAAAAGGTACAACCATTTGTTGAATGAATAACAGTGACTTAGAAGCATAAAATATGACTGAGATAATATTTTCCACCTAATAAGTGCAGAGATTAAAAATCTGATACGCACAATGTTAGAAAAATGGGTATTTTTCACCTGCTTTGCTGTAAGATAAAACTGATACCAGGTTTTTGAAGGACAATTTGGTAATTCTTCATTAGCTGTATGGCATGTTAATGTATGACACACATCTTAAATTTACCATTCTACAAATAAGAAATTGATCGTTTGCTTTGATATTCTGTTTTGTTGCACTCTTCCAATAAGAACACTTTTTTTTAGTGTGCACAGAACAATGTATCTAACTCTGATGTTCAATGTGTACACATAATTTACATAATGATCTTCTATTGTGATTTTTAAAAAGAAGTTGCAAATAGAGCATATTGTTGAAAGATTGCTTAGGACAGTAAAAAATGTGACAAAAATGATCATGTTTCAAACAGTAATTTCTAGAATAATATCAAACTGTAACTGCAATGGCTGGCATGATCATTGGTACTCCAGTGTAGAGACTTACCTTGGCTTTTGGGGATGGCTGGCTTTCCATGTGTTCCCCATAAAGCAAACCCCACTCAGCTACATAGATTGGAAAAGTATATATTTAAAATATAAAAATACAGTCAAGGATCCCCAGATAGTTACAGGGAGCAAAGAATATGAATGAGAAAGACAAACATAAATTAGCAGGGGGTGAGAAAAAACCCACGAATGAACAATTTAATTAATTAATTAATTTTGTTGTTGTTGTTGCAGAAAAGTGATTTATTTAGGCAGACAGAGAAAAAGGAGAAGGAGAGAGAAAGAAACAGCTTTTACGCTGAATGAGAGAAAGAAAAGCCGCTCTCACACTGAGTGAGAAGGGTTTTTAGAGGGAGAAAACCAGAGAAAGAAAACTCCCCTTACACTGAGTGACAGAAACCAGAAAGATGGAATCCAGGAGAGGAAAGAGCTTCCACAGTGGGTGGAAGGGGACCCGAGAAGGGAAATCCAGGAGAGGGAAGAGAGCTCCCACTATGTGGGAGGGGATTTCAGAGAGCTGGAAATCCCAACAATTTAATTTAGACAATAAAAGAGAAATCAAAAAGCACTAGAATGTGTCCTTGGAAAGATTCAAGAACCTTTGTATTTTTAAAAATGTAATTCTATATAAAAGGAAAAATCAAATACCAAAAACACTGAAAATTAAACGTACATTTGCAAAATAAGCAATTCTATAGCACAGCAGAAGAATTAGGCGGTCCCACACCTCACTAGTAAAGAGAGATCAGAGAGAATAACAGGAGGGGAATTATAAAAGAGGTAGAGTAGAAAAATTCACCCAGAGAAAAAGTAAAAAGTTCCAAAAAGCTTCTAGGAAGAAAAAAGATACATTATAAAAAATTAAGAATCAGACTATGGTTTGGCTTGTCATTATCATCAGGATTACCAACGAAATGGACTCTATAAGTTCTAAGGAGAAAAACACTGAACTAGAGGTTTATATCTAGACAAATGTGAGGGGGAACATAGCATTCCAGACATGGTAAAACTAAAACTAATAAAGTCCTGGGAATGGAAGAATAAATTAAGAGCAGAGGCAGTCATGGGATCCAAACGTACATTAGATCAATCCAAGAGAGTACATAAGTCCTGTCCCAGTAAGGCAAGTGTGCCTGTCCCAATAAGACAGGTGTGCAGTAGTACTAGGAATACCCACTTTAGGCCAGCACTGGAAAGTGGACTCCTCTTGGTGAAAGTATTGAATAAAGAAAATAGAATAAACAAAATGACTGCAAACATGCAGAAGTATTGAAGATGTGTTGGAGGGTAAAAAAATAATAATAATATATGACTATTTTCCAACCTGACATTGTGTAGCATTGGACCTATAGAAGGGGTTGTAATCTTTGTATGTGGCTTGACTCTGTAGTAAATAGTATATCATCATAAAAATGCAAACACTGTTTATTCTTTTTCTTAGGATCAACTTATGTTTAAGTAACAAGATGTGGATATTAGCAATCATGCCAAATCAATGCATAGATAATGGGTTGGGAGTGCAAGAGATGGTAGAAGACATGGAAGGAAGATTACCAAATGGAACATCAAAGATGTTGTTCCATAGATGATGGGAAAATAAGATAAAGGTTTAAGAATCATTTGTGAAATTCCAGGGCTCACTGGTGGCAGGAATGATGCTGCGATGGAATTTTACCAGTTAGATACGGGGTTTGGAGAGGCAAGATACAGTAGTTGTAAGTGGTCTAGATCCTTATCTATCTCAGAAGACAATCAATAGGTAATGTCAAATTTGACCAAAATATAGCAGTGCAAGCACAGTACTGGAAGATACAAAAATATTTTAAGAAGTTAAATGGAAATAACCAAAATTTCTGATATTGAGATTTAGGACTAGATGAATGGAGGAGTAAGACAGAGGGCTATTTTTTTTTTTCATTATCTAAGCTGGTGAATTTTAATCAATTATGTGTATTAGTGTAATTTTTGAAACTTTAAATTGTACATATATGTCAATTATAAATAGGCCCAAAATGGTCAATTTTAAAGAATTGTGTTAAATATAAGTTATCTAGTAATTTCTTCATTATTTCATCATTCACTCCACAAATGGATTTTGAATGCGTACCGTATACTAAGTATTTCAGGAGCTGAGAATATTGCAAAAAAATAAAAATTAAAAAACCAGATAAGGTTCCTGCTTCCATGGGGTTTACATTCTGAAGAGAAAAAACAAGCAAGGCCATGAAAGAGAGAGGGGATTTCAAATAATTTGCTAACATGCTATCAAGAAAAGCAAATAAGACTAGGATGATAAAAATGCTGTTTTAGATTTAGTGACCAGAGAAGGATTCACTAAAGATCCAGCCTTAGGACTGAGCTATGTAAGAACCAGCTAGTCAAATGAGGATCAAGAAGCAGAGCTGTCTGCAAGGATGTGTATTTTTTTTTTTTTTAACAATAAGTGCACTTTGTCATATACTCTCATCATGTTGTCTCTGTTAGAAAATCACTAAAGGAAAATGTGCTTTTCATTCCACAATAAATCTTACTATACATAAATGTATTTCCCTACGTTTAAGCAGATAATGCTTTTCTTACATGGTGAGAGGAATCAATAAACAAAATGACTGACTATTGCATTGATGAAGGCCTACGCTTACCAAATGCAGACACACATACAGACACACATTATGATACAACCCTATGATCTTATATACAATTGGGCAAAAATTAATGATTATTAATGTGTTAATGAGATGCAAAATGTTTGTGTCTTATGAAAATTTGTCTATGATGTAAAGATTCTTCCAATGCTTTGAATTCCAGAATATATTTCTCTTAAAGAGATCTGCACCACTATGACCATCAGCCTGCCAAGAAACGGCAAGATGGTTTGGCAAATTAATTTAAAGACATGTTAATATTTTATATTGATTATTTCAAAGAAATTATCAAGGGTAAGTTTCATCTGAATGTAGAGTGAGTGTAATACATTTTAGATTTTTACCTTTATTACATATATAATTTTAAATTTGGAAATTTGTATTTTTTTTTTTTAAACAGAGTTTCACTCTGTCACCCAGGCTGGAGTGCAATGGCGTGATCTTGGCTCACTGCGACCTCCTTCTCCCAGGTTCAAGGAATTCTCCTGCCTCAGTCTCCCGAGTAGCTGGGATTACAGGTGTGTGCCACCATGCCCTGATAATTTTTTGTATCCTTAGTAGAGATGGGGTTTCACCTGGCCACTATGTTGGCCAGGCTGGTCTTGATCTCCTGACCTCAGGTGATCCACCCACCTTGGCCTCCCAAAGTTCTGGGATTACAGGTATGAGCCACTGCACCTGGCCAATTTGTTTAACATTTATACTCACATGTAGAGTGTGTGTTCATCAACTCCTCAATTCATAACACACTATCATCATTAGTCCATGCAGTTCTCTCTATTGTTTTGTGCATGTATTTGCATGTGCACTTCATATGAATGTGTATGTATTATGCATGTATGAGTTTACACGAGTGTGCATGAATGTTTGTATTCCCTTTTATCCCCATTTCCCAGGTCCATTCTTTTGCTTTCCATAGGCAACCATTATTTAATGTGTATTATTTCTGTATATTGTAAACTTTGCTTTGAATATTAATACTAATTACTTTTAATTATTGTAAATATAATTGTGCTATAGAACGCATTCTTTTTTTCTTACTTGTAAACTCAGAAATATATTCGAAGATCCATATACCTTATATATTTAACTTGT